TGTGCGAAGAAGTAAATGTGGAGGCGAAGAGCCAGCGGGCAAAAAAAATGTAGATCTGTGTGCAAGGAAACCTTTAACAGTCAATGTGCAGACATGAAGACATAGGGCAACAATGAAAAATAGGTGTGTACATCTGCTTTATGTGTGGGTCAAAATTTGTTAGAAGAGGAGAGGAATGAAACTCTTCTTTTCACACATACATTTTGCAGTTTTGCTTCTGTACAACATAACATGGGATGGAAATCAGACAATCAAGATGGGATTAAAGTGCGACTTTGAGCTTTAATTCAGGGAGTTTTATAATATACATAAATTTACAACTGTTTAAGAGTGACAACCATATTTATACACAATCCCCCATATTCAGAGGTTCAAAATTAATGGGATAATTGACATTGACGATGACAATTTCATGGCCAGGTGAGACCTGCTCACTTGTTATTTGAAGACAAATGAAGCAGGCTGTTGATTCAAAGTGCTGAATTTGAATTGTGAAGGTTTTCACTGTAACTTTTATTTAATTGTCAATATGAGATCCTAAGATATATTATTGTAAGTGAGCAACCATTAGCCTGTAAAACCCAAATAACCCTCAGACAGACAGCAAAAACTTTACAAGTGGACAAATCAAAAATCGCTTGCATTATTAAAAAGATTGAATGCACCGACCAGCTCAGCATCAACAAAAGGCCTGAAAGACCACAGCAGACTAAACTAAAGAAAAACTAACAGTGAAGTGTACAGAGCTATGCTCACTGCTCAGATTCAGCCAAATGCTGCAAAACTGACCAGGTAGTGCTTCACCACGCAAATGGATAATAACTCAAAGCATATTGCAAAAGCAATGGGATAGAAATGGGATAGTCTTCAATAACTGACTCAGTCATCTGATTTAAAACCCAAGAGAGCATGCTTTTCGATTGCTTTTCGATTATTAAGTAAAAACCTGAATGCAGAAATACCCACAAACACGTACCTACAGGCAGCTGCAGTAAAGATCTGGGGGAGCAACTCGAGGGAGTAAACACAACATTCGCTGATGTCCATAGTGCTACACCCCAGTTTTACATTTCAGGCGGACATTGTTTTGATTTTTTTCATCCAAGTATTTAAAAAAGTCTTTACATGTAATTGTTAGTTTGTCCCATTAATTTTGAACCACTGAAAACAAAAATGTATGGCTGACACCAAATCCCTGTTTATACCATTTAAAGCCACTGCTCTAAGCAACACAAGACAAATGTTCTCTTATTAAAAACACACAAGTTGCTAAAGTAGTTTAGTAAGCTCCCAGCATGCTGCTGAGCTGAACACACTTTCTCATCTCTGCCAGGTGACTAAGTCACACACACATCACAGCAGGGGGGGAACATCTTATGAAAACTGTCATTTGTGTGTGTACATGCATTTGACTGTCTTCCTATGTGTGTCTACCAATCCCGTTCAAACCACATAAACACAATATCCATGGATTAATGGCAGATCTCTAAATAAGGCCAAATGGAGATGTGGATGGGAGGGAGCTAAGTGGTGTGAAGGGCCCAGCGGTGGCTGCCTCTTACCTTTTTGTTGTTTTCTTTAATATCCTGAGGATTGAGCGACTTGTAGTCTCTGAAAGAACAGTGGGGAGGGTTGGAGAGGAGGTGAGCAGAGAAAGAGAGAGAAAAAAAAAATGGTAGACAGAGAGACACAGCGGAGAAAAAGGTGTGTTTAAATATGCGTCACATGTAATGGTATTAGAACTGTAACATGCAATTTCATAGCAGTGCAATCAACAGAACTAATAGAGTGGAAAATATGTAAAAATAACACACCGGAGAGGAAAGGCACACAAGCACAAACACACACACGTGTACACAAAATTATCTTCATGTGTGCCTCCTTGATGGGACTGCAGGTTTTCCATATAATGTTCTTTTGAGTGTCACACACACACACATACACACACACACACACACACACACACAACACACTTCAAAGAATTATAATCGCACACACAAGAACAACACGATTAGTGTCGGAAGCAAACATACAACAGTTTTTGACTGTGGAAATGACAGATTGAGTGTTTGTATGAATGAATCACATTAATCAAACACGGGCACACTACAGGTTAACTGTGCAAATATAATAGCGAGGGATTAGGGGTGTAAGAATTCTGAAACCGAGACCGAAATCACGATACAAACACACCATCAGCTAACGGTGGAGTCTTTGAAGCAGCTTGATTTGGATAGAGTTAATGTCAGTTTCGGCAACTTACTCAACTTTCCCTATTTTCTGCTCAGTTTCTTTCAACAATTTTCTTTGTTATACAGTCTGCAACATTTACTTTATCGTTCCTCATTGCATCTGTCTGGTTCCAGTTTTCATTAGAAACCACACATAGATTAAAAAGTAGATGCTAAAGGAGGATACGAGCTAAAAGAAATTATATATTTCTATCTTATAGGTCTGATGCTTGACTGATGATTTAGACCTCAGTGGGAAACCTATGTCTATGCAGAAGTCAATTTTTAACTGAAAATACATAAGACAAATGGGCTTTAATGTCGTCTTTTCTACATTGGGGATTTTTTTTCCCCAAAAGGGGGAAAAAGTAGTCTGGGAGTATCGTTGCACCCCTACAAGTTATGAAAAAAGATTAGGTATAACATTAGGTATAACTAGAACATATGACCTAACTTGAGTTAGTTATTAAGTTTAGAATGAGTGTGAATTTAATGTGATCTGTGCGTTTGTGGTTCATACATCAAATCGGGTCTGAAATGGTGCAGCAGAGCGCAGAAGGCCAGCCCGTTCCTCCAGGACGTGGTGAAGTTGGTGATCTTCACCCCACGGTAGTTCTTCGTGACCTCGCGGCACCAGGCCAGCAGGGACTGGCTGGCATTGGGTTTTCCTCCCAGAATGGGGCTTGGGACTGGGCTGGGCTGCAGGCAGGAGGCGGTGGCAGGGTTAAAGAGGTAATGATGGGGGAGAAAGAAGAAAGAGGGAGACTCCTTAAATGTCATGTTTTTAAAATAAATTTTAAAAAAAACATGAGGGGATTGGTGCAACATTCAGATATACATGATTTAATTACAGCTGTCATTTGGGATCACTATATTTAAAGCACAAATGACACCACACATTAATACTTTACCCTTGTACTTTGTCAATTAATTTCCAGAGTATATATTTATGCAGCTCTCCTTCCCTTCACTCCAAAACAACCCCCTTTTCCTTATTTATTACTGAATAAAAATGTTTCACTTAAAAACCACTACCCATCCAATTAGCACGACACCGGGACAGAATGACAGAGCTTGCACACGAATGAACGTGCACACACACAGACTCGTGCCGTAATGAAGGGTCATTCAGAATGCAGTGTATGACCGTGAATAATGTAAACATCTTATTAATTAGCTCCGCCTTTGAAGTCTTATCTGGGTTGAAAAAGCTCTCACCATTAGGAGCCTTTCCTGTCCTAGACTCCAAATCCCACAAATCCTCAGTGGTGTGGAGACAGTGGTCTTTGCCTGACGCCCGTGCTATTCTGATTATTCAGCTGGCTGTTCACTAATCTGGTTATGGAGGGACTGATAAGGGATAATTCTCTCAGATCATTTTGGAGAGGAACGGCAAAAATGTCATAGAGATTTGATTAAATACATTAGAGGCCAATGATCAAAAAGAATGAAATGTGTTCCAAATGCAAGCGTATATCAGTCTTTTGTGCAAAAAAAAAAAAAAAAAAAAAATGCAGTTAACATACGACAAATAACACAGACATCATGAATTATATTATGCAATATGTTTGAGAAAGTTTACAACATATAATATTTCATAGTTTGTTTTATCTGCACACATTTTTTTAACATTACTCACTTAAATGAGAGCTGTGACATCCAAACATTACCAGGTGATGTTTAAACTTCACCTTTACTCAAGCCTCGGCAGAGGCCAGTGAAGGAAAGAAGTTAGTTGCACATGAGGTGATGTACCTCAGTAACTAGTTAACCCAGTTTTAAGACCCACAGTTGAGAGCTGCAGCTCAAGACAGTTCTCACTGTGTGAACCTCACTCCCCTAACAAGGCTTGTGGTGGCCAACCAACCCCCTCTCTTGGCTGCTTTCGGCTACTGCATTATGAAGAAATAAAGTCGAGGGATGGGAGCCAAGACTGAGGAGATTTGAATTTTAAGGAGATAGAATTTCCAGCGTGCTGACTAATTCCTCATCAGAACATTTGTCAATTTTAGATGGTTTTGTGTTATTTTTACATTATAAACTGAAAGAAAGGCTTGATAATGCCGTCAGACCTTGCCCTAGCTGTTCACAAATGTTTTAATATTAAATATATTTAGTTTACAAGGTCAAAAGTGAAAAAATAAGCCATTTAGCCTATAAGCACAAGGAAGTCTGTTACTCATCCATTGTTGCATTTTAAACTATGACCATGTGCCTGGAGTCTACCAAGAAGCCACAAGCTCCAAAGCAGATGAAAGAGACTGGAGGCCATCTCTAATAGCAGCTCCTAACCTTTGTACCTGTGTGTGTGTGTGTGTGTGTGTGTGTGTGTGTGTGTGTGTGTGTGTGTGTGTGTGTGTGTGTGTGTGTGTGTGTGTCTGTCTCTGTGAGTGAGAGAGTCAATCAGGGCCCGATGGCAGTCTTGGTACAGGGAGACGTTAGCGAGAGCCTGAGGGGCAGGCTCTTGACATTTCCGGCTCATCTTTAAAAAGAGGGCCTTAACCTTTACCCACAGCTCCGTCAGACACGTTTTAGGAGATCTTGACAAAACCTCAGTGCTTCTCAAACAAATGGAAAGGGGAAAAAGGAAGCAAAAAAACAAGATAAGAAGTCATAAAATCATGCGGCAAAAAGATAAGGATAATCTTATTTTTAAAATTACAGCATGTGGATAGTGGTTATTTTGTTTTGTTTGTTTCTAACCGTGAGTACTGATCATTCCAAAGACTCAAACTCCAGTCGTGTTCTTCCTTTGCCGCCATTTGTGTGTGCCATTACAATGTGTGTGTGTGTGTGTGTTTTTAGAGTTTCAGTGTGGAGTGGTCTTCCTCCAGGCCTTCCCCTTCTGCTTTTTCAAGTGACGGTTGAAAGTAGCTGTCTAATTTGAGCGCTCTAATTACCTGGGATTAGAGACCAGGTGCTATTAAAGCAATTAGACACACAGCACACTCCAGTGCCGCAGACCCTGTACCCTAGCCGGCAGAAAACACACAAACGTACACATATACACACACACACACACACCTGTGTAACACAGCCAGTGGAAATAAATATTAAGTTTAAGGGAAAGTGTCTTTAAGGCTCATTCACCTTGCCACAAATACACACAAATAATCACTTATACATACTTCTGACTTCAATTAAAAGTATTTGGAGGTGCGTTACTGGAAATTGGCAAGCCATTTTAAAAGCACAGATTAACCAAATGTTTTCTTCATTTCCGACAAACCCCTTGCAGCGACCCTACAGTCATCACAACCTAAAGCGGGTGTAGTTTTCCTCAGACTGTTTCATTACCACCTTTTCCGATAAAGGTTTTACAAATGCATCGCACCACTCGAGCTTTCATATCCATCAAATATTGAACAAATACCATATCGTCCGTTACAGGACTGGCTGCATTTCCTTAAGACACAAACACAGGAGTGCAATTTTCATGAGGAGCAGAAATGCACCCTGACTTATCAAACAGTTTGCTGTCTTGCCTAAAGGAGCGAGTGCATGTGTGTGTGTTTGTCTTTTATCAGTCTGTGTGAATGTCACTGTGTGTGTGTGTTTGTGTGTGTGTGTGTGTTACACTGACACAGTCATGTAGCTAGCTCGGCTCGAGGGTAGGATTAGCGGAGAGCATTGCCTTGGCCCACAAACATTCCATATTAAAAAATGAAAAGGCAACCTTCATTACTATCAGTGGCACATAACCTCCCCTCTTCCTCCTCCTCTGCTACTATTATACACAGCCATAACAGCCTGGGCAGAAAATACAAGCCACTGACAAGAGATTCCATTATTTCCTGATGCCTCAGTGTCAACAACATACATCTGACGGGGCAAAGAAAGCAAAAAAAATGGAGGAAGGGAAAAGGATGTTAGAGAGAAAGGAGGGGGGTTAAGCTCACTACAATGCCTGAATGAAAGATAGGAGGAAACCTGGGAATGGAAGCATCCAGCTTCCTGTTGGTACTGGAGTCAGGAGGAGGATTTTGGGTTTCACAGATGTGATTTTGGGAGGGTGATGTGAGATCTGAAATAACGGTGATGCTGCTCAACAATGACAGAGATAATTAATAAGCTCTCACAGGATAATGTGGAGCTACAGAACAATTCTAGAGTGAGGTTGTTGTCTTTACTGTAGATGTGGACCATGAGCAAATATTTAATTTACAGTAGATAGGCAAGACAATATTACAAATGCTTTCGATCAAGTGGGAAGCACGGGTAAAGCCACTTTATTAAATAAATAAAGACACAAATTCTCCACTTTATTCAAAAGTAAAGAAAATGTTCAACTGAGCTACTCGAGATAAGCTGAAACCATAAGTTGAAAAGACGCATCTTACCCTACCTCCTTAAACAGTTTCCAGGAAACATTAATGAAATTAATTTCTTATTTACAAAACAGATGGACAGTCTGAAAATAAAATATATTTCAGTTTTTACACACTGATCAAATCTACCATTTATAATGGAAATGCAAAAAAGAAGTTTTGTAAAAGAACAGCAACAATTTACATCTGTAAGACTCAAAAACAGTCTTTAGCTGTAGAAATACGTTACACTTGGAGCGTGATCGTCAGCACACACTGTGGCGGTTTGTAGTGAGGGGTAAAAGTCAGCAGCTACAAGGCGGAGGTTCTCTGCCAGAAAAAGGTGGATTGTTTCCTCTTGGTTGGGGGAAAGTGGCTGTCCCAAGTGAGGGAATTCAAGTTTCTCAGGGTCTTACTTATTTAATGACTGTAAGACGACCTGTGAAGTGGTCAACGGTAACTTCCAGTCTCAACTGGATAGTCATGGTGAAAGGGGAGAGGACATCTAGAACACCCTAAATAGTTTGATGCCACTGGGACTAAACTTCAGATAATCATAGGTGGATGGTAAGATTTTGATTCCAGTCATTAGTTTAGTTAATAAAGCAACTTTTAATTGCTTATTGTAGACAAGTCTTATACCTTTTGCCCCACTAACAGTGTGGAGAATTGCAGAGTCAGGGTAAAAATCTGAAAGAAAGTCTACTAAACTGTACCCAAACGAAGATCAACAAATGTAAACAAAGTCACGTGGCATTAAACATGGGGGCTAAAGCACACAGAGGCCACCAAACTAGCCTTTCTGAGTCATAAAAAAAAGACACAAGTCAAACATTTTAAAGTGGCAGCTTTGTCTCTCACTCTGGGGCATGACGCTTCAATGGAAACTTAACTGGGCTCAACCCAATGACATAAACCCACGACTCTGTGGAGAGAAAAGAGCTTCCGTGTCTTTCCAATCTCACTTTCGAGGCTTCAAAGCAGTGTCAGAGTGTCAGATTTGAGGAGGTGTTGAATCTCATACTCTTTAAAACTTGTAATCCGCTCAAGGAGCCTAAGGCAAAAAAAGAAAAAAAAGGAAAGGAAAGTCCATGCACACACATATACACACAGTGCAAAGTACACACAAGACACACATACTGTACATGCATGCAAACAGCAGGGACATACACACTTACTGTATGGATAACAACATCTTAGAAATGGTAGCCTAACACACTCCTCTTATCCAAGATACACATACTTGGGGAAAAAATTAATACCTGCTCATATTTAAGAGGATAGGGTTGGTGCACTTAAGTGGCCTGTCCATCCTGCTACAGAAAAACCACATCTGATTGGCTCGCCTCCAAATAACCACATGCTCAATTATTTAATTGCACCTTCAATCAA